CCTCCCTTCTGCCTGTACGATACCATCTTTCAACATTGCCCTCCATTCCACCCCCCGATCTTCTCCCCCTACCAATCCACTTTCCCCATCCTCTTCTCTCCTTGTCTTGTGTCTATCGCCTCTCTCTTCCCGTCGTCTTTCTCCACGCCATTCTCTCCTCCCTTAGGATACTCTTCGTCGATCCTGCTCCTCGAATACTCCACGTCACCCCTGCGGATCTGGTATGTCATTTCCTCTCTGCTCTCTCTCTCCTTCATCTGCATATCCACATTTACCCTGCCCCTCTAAGTGATTCAATCCCTTCGCCATTATCCTCAGCGCCGAGCCCCTCTTCCTGCCTTGCAATCCCCACCTTGTCTGGATCCCCCTACACGACCTCCATTCCTTACCCTCTTGCCTCGGCGTTCTTCCCCCTGCACTCCTTCGGTCCCTACATCCTTGGCTGGCATTCCGACCTTCTCCTCTCGATCGCCCTCCTCCCAATCCCCTTCTTCGCAAATTGGGTTCCCGACGTTCACCCTCCTCCCAATTAGTACTTTAAGGCCCTCCTCGACGTCGTCCTCCTCCACAACTTTCTTGACGCTGGCGAGCTTACCCTACATGATTCACCCTATCTGCTTCCTCTGTCATCGACTCATCGCATCCCATCCTGACCGACCAAATCACAACCCTCTCATCCGCCTGATTCCCATTCTCCCCCTCCCCTTTCGTCCTTCTTCTGCTACTCCAGCCCCTCAAGATTTCGACGGCGACCTTCTCCTCCCTGCCTGACCAGGCACTTGAGCTCCCCCTAGTGTTCCTTCTCCCCTTTCCTCTCCACATTCACGGGATGATCCCCGACCACTTCTTCCGATAGCGGCCGCCGGACGTGTACAAGGTCTCCACCACTTGCAACATAGCACTCCCACAAAGAATGGAGTTGCAGCCCTACACGAGTGAACGAATGGCTGGACGTAGAGGGAAGGAGGGATGTAAGGAGAGAGAGAGAGAGAGAGAGAGAGAGAGAGAGAGAGAGAGAGAGAGAGAGAGAGAGAGTGCACTTTGCGCACGCTGGGCGAACCCACCTATTTCGTTTTCGGGCCGAGTGTGAAAGGAACTGTCCACCTTAACACACACCACCGCTAAGAGAGAGATGGAGGCAGCGAGGGAGGGAGGGAGGGAGGCAGGGAGGGAGGGAGGGAGAGACGGAGAGGGAGTGCACTTCGTCACGCCGCGGACTCTCCTATTCCCCTTTCAGGACGAGTATGAACCGAACCCTCCACGTCTTTAGGCACGACAATGCACGCCGCACCGCTCACCAAATGCACAGAAGACAAAAATCATGGCGGTGCATCTTTCCATGTTCTTGCGGTAGATTCGTTCTCATTTTGCATGTTTGGTGAGTGGTGCGGCGAGGGCAAGCCTCCACGCCCGCACGCCCGTTCACACGCAGTTCCTTTCCTTCCATTTCCTTTCCAGACAGCGCCGCCGGGAGTTTCCGTTTTCCGTTCTGGCCGTCGGGATTTTCCGTTTTCCGTTCTTGTGGACCGCGATGCCCCGAGAAAATAAAAATGCGGCTGAAAAAGCCAATGTGCCTACCTCACTTTGCACACCCATGAAGCTGCTGTTGAAAGACAGGCCTGAGTTTGAATCCTCGCAAAATTAACTGGGGCCCTTTAGTTGGAGGCCTCCGCGCCATGGCGCTAACGAAATGAAAACCTGCCGGTAGGGCCTCGTGGCGCACTCGCCAAATGTGAAAAGGGAAAAGTGCGGACAGTTGAATCTTTTTTCTTTTTTTTTCCCTCAAAATTCAACTTCAAATTACTCAACAATACGTCCCCCGTCCAGAAAAAAAAAAAAAAAACGTCCGCACTTTTGAAGGCGGGTGAAGGCGGGGTCCTCCACAATACGTCCCGTCCAAAAAAAACTTCCTCCACAATACGTCCCGTCCCCACAAAAAAAAAAAAAAAAAAAAAAAAAAAAAAAACGTCCCGGGAACAGTTGAATCTCAAGGGCCGTCGACCATTCGAAAAGGCGCAAAAATAGAAAACAGAAACAACGACAGAGCGGGGAAAAGGGAAAAAGAGAAAAGAGTTCTTTCGGATAGAAGGCGGGTGAAGAACAGAATGTTTGGTGCGCGGGAAGAGGAGGAGGAGGAGGGGGAGGAGGAGGAGGAAGAGGCGGAGGAAGCCGAGAGCCAGGCCAGCCATTCATGGCTAGGCAGACAGCGACGGCGGAGTCTTGTTCTTCGGGATGTCATTACTTCGTCCCTTATGGCTGTGGGCGCCATTGTGGGTCAACAAAGGAGAAGAAGAAGCTCTGTTTGTTTAGACCGTCCTCCCGCTGGCTATGGCGATCCAATGAACGGTCAGCGGAGTTGGGTGTTTGTCCACCGGCCTTCTTCTGTCTCATCAGCTATGGCGAGTCGCTTCTCCCTCCTCCTGCTCTTCTTCCTCTTCTTCTCCCTGTCGTTCGTTATCACCTTCTATTTCCATAACCCTCCTGTCGTTCTCGACTTCCTTAGTCTCCCTGCTATAGATAGGCATCTGTCATCTTCCATTCCCAGCAGGGGGAGCAGGATGGCCGTGGTCACACACACGCCATCTCCGCCATCTCCAGTATCGACCTCGGCGGCATTGCCGGCAGCCTGCGGTGGATATCACTCTGGTCCAGCTGTCAGTGCACCCAATTTCAATTTCACCGATCGCGAGAAATTGTATAATGAAATGGGTTCTAATCTGGAGAGAAGGGGCCCATTGTTTCTGACAACCGGCGAGACGACACAATCACTGAAGATCAGCGACCTCTTTGTCATCATCCAAAGCAATGGCTCTGTAAGGCCGATTCCAAAGCCATTGATGCATCCAGTTAGGGCGACTTTGCTATACATTGAGCCTGCAGTTGGCATTACGATATGGCGAGTGGTCAAGCAGGTAATTGCCGAGTACTTTCCACAAGGAGGAGTTTGGTATCAAGATCCCCAGATGTTCCACGTGTCTCTCTATCATGCATCCAACCACATCGACACTGTTCCCGCCACGACCTCAGAGATTGACGAAGAAACCAACGCCGTTGCACGAGTGGCCAGAACCAGCTGCCCTGTTGTTATCGCATTGGACCGGGTTATCGTAACTTCAACTGGTGCTGTTATTGGCTGCTGGCAGCTGTTGGATGGCACAGAGCCAGCACAACTCCGCAAACGCCTGAGGTCTGGTCTGCCACGATCTCCCCAGAAACAGATGAATAATCAGGTTCTCATTCATACTTCATTTGCCCGGTTACTCGTTGCCCCTACGAGTCCCAACCCAGTACTGCAGGGCCAAGCTGAAGCCCAAGAGAGTCATCCGACGAAATTGCTGCTGCGTATGGCGAGGGAGCTGAGCAAGAGGCTGTGCAGATTGAGGGCAAATCTAAGCGAACTCTGGTACGTTGAGGAGTTGGATATGCTGGCACTGGCCTTGAGGGGTAACATGAGGCAACGGAAATTTCCACTTTCTTGTGAGATTGCCCTAGAAGAGGGGTAAAAAGACTCTGCGAAGGCCTCTGCAAGATGCTCTTCAGTAACAGCCTTCACAGTCTGTGTTTACCGAGAAGGATCTCGCAGAGGCCTTCACAGACTGTTTTTACCCCTCTAGGGTAATCTCACATGAAAGTGGAAATTTCCTTTCTGATGATCTAGGATGGGATGCGATAACATCTATATCGGACACCCACAGATGACTTGCAGAGCCAGCATATCCAACCACAAGCCGTCTGTGGAGGTCGGATAGATGTCAGAAGACTTGGGAAAAAACAGCGCAAGCAGATCGGTTAATTTACGCTCACTGGTTTACTGCCACCGGGTGTGGCAGGGAAATCAGAAAGGGGCCTGCGTGGTAGCAGAGGCCATCAGATCGATGATCTTTTCGAACGCAAATAGAGTCGGCAAAACTCTATTTCTAGATAAACTGTTCCTTTGCCTTCTTGATCTTCTTGGCCTATCGATGAACGCTGGGCCCAGTTTCCAGCAGTACAGATAGCCTCCTTACCTAGGATCCAAGTCATGGATGTACTAGTCATTTGAACTTGTTTCTTCTAAACTGTGTGGGGACCCTGGACCCATTTTGTAGCAGTAGAGAGAGAGTTTTAACTTTGAACGAGTTTGGGACGGTGGACAGTGCCAAACACCATCGCTTTGCTGTTTCGACTTTGCTGTTTCGACTTTGCTGTTTCGACTTTGCTATGAGTTTGGATGAGATTGGGACACTGGACCAGGTTGCCAGCAAAGCCGAAGCTGGGTAATGGCCCCAGTAATTCCTTCCGGGTTGAATTGTGAGGGCCCCGGCCTCTTTTCCTTTCTAGTAAAATACTAGTAATGAAGTACGAAGTACAGCCTCTCTCTTCTCCAGCGGCCTAGCTCAGTTTGTAAGGCTCGCGAGTGGCATTCAGGAGGTCGTGGGTTCAATTCCCATTGGCCTCATGTCCCTTCCTGGGCATGCTTGGCGTTCGCCACATAGAGATAGACCACTGGATCCCCCGATCGGCATTGAGCAGAGTCTGGTGATGTTCGTAGAGGGGGGGGGACCACCACCTGAGGGGAGGCACAGGGATTGGTCCTGTTGGCATGGTCCCTGATGCTACCTTCTGTCCCTTGGCCAGTATCGCCCACCTGCAGCTGGGCATGTCGGGGGGAAAACCCCCCCGCGTTCTCTCGGCTCTGGCTGCGACGGGGTTTTCCCCGTATGACTATAATAGTATAATTAGGAGTGTAGTGGTAGCGGTGTCTGCTCTTATCAGCATCGCTAGCACTGGAGGGACAGTTTAAAAAAAAAAAAAAAAAAAAAAGTTGGAAAAGCTCAGACTTGTAGTATAATTAGGAGTAGTGGTAGGGCGGGAGACAGGAAAATGATGCCACATACCCCACACCAAACGAAAAAAACTCTGGACTTCTATTTTTCATTCTCTGCTTTTTTACTCTGAAGAGTCTGAACAGCAATTGATTAAATTGATTAACTTTCGATCATGGCCGTGCGTACGAGGAAACAGTAGCGGAAAAATCAGCCAATGAAACCGATTACCGCTCTAGTTCACCGATTTTAATCAATCCATTCACCAATCCATTCACCATCTGGATGAGTGGAAGAAGGCTCGACTGAGAGGATTGGTTGCGCGAGTAACGCGCATCGTGACTTGATTAAAATCATTCAGATGCGATCATCAGTTCTGCATTTGATTTCGACGCACAGCTGACGAGCATTTGGTGTTGGCGTCACCAACACCGGCTCGCGCGAGATTGGGAAAGCGGAGAGATGCAACCGGTCTGCCAGCATCCCCACCAGTAGAATGAAGATTGCAATTAAAAGAAACAAAACTGATAGCAATAGAGTGACGGGAGGAGCTCCAGACGTGAAGAGAGGACAGCATAGCAGCCCACTGAGGAGAAAAAAAAAACGAAGGCACGTGATAGAGAAGAAGCGCTCAAGGGATGTAGCAACATCACACACTCAATATTTCGTCATCTTATTTGCGTTTTTTTTTTTTTTTTTTTTTTTTACATCTAAATCATCTAGGGCAGGACGTGCAGTGAGGACGGGCGTGCCTCCATCAAGAGAAGACAGTGGCCCGAAGATTACTATTCCACTGAGATCTCTCTCTGCCCTGTCCCTCTCGACATCTCTTCCTCCTTCACTCCTCCCGTTCACTTGCTATTCTCGCTTCCCTCTCTCTCTCTCGCTCCAGGCGGTGCGTCCGGTCATTAACGATCGTCAGATGCCCTTCCTCATG